TTTAATATGGAGATGTTGAGAGAAGAGGAAACCCAAGAGGATGGTTTTCCCGTGTTCTTAAATTAAAGAAATACTAAACTATGCTTGTAGATGAACCCTCTCAAAGTACTTTGTAGTTTTCGTTGAAATCTAATTTGGAAAGTCGGTATGCGGTATGTGGTATGTGGTAGGGCTTTGAGAAAGTTTAATCTAATCTGTATGTGTGCGGCGAGGGGATGTTTCCCTTGTCTTGTTGGGTTGTCTTGGGTTGGTCTTGGTGATCTTGGTGGTCTTGGTGGTCTTGGTGGTCTTGGTGGTCTTGATGGTCTTGGTTGGTCTCGGTGATCCTCTTTTTGTGTTATGGAGTAGTATTTGGAGTACTTGGAGTAGTAGTTTATATGCAAGAATCTGGAGACGAGATTTGTAGAGTAATATCCTTTTCCTCTACCAGGACATTAAAAGTAATCATTAATATCAATTAATGGTATAGTGAGGTTAACATCTTCACTTTGTCTAATCTGCCAATTCCGGATGAAGGTTTCTCAGACCCTTTTTTTGCCTTTTTTGGTGAAGAAACACACAAGTATCTAATTACAATATGTCTATGATAGGGGGTGTTTTTTTATTTTCATTTCTACTTATTCATTTCTCCCTCTCTTCCTAGCTACTTTGATATTATCCATGTTTCAATCAATATCAATTTGTCTATTTAATAAAGTAATAAAGGTGATAAAAATAATATATTCTAGGGCACCTTTGATTGTGGACAAACATACGAAGCGGAGTATCTATATCTCATTATCCTCTCGAAGGATCGTCAGCTGCGAAATGGAGATGTATGCGGGCAAAGCGGCAGAGCAGAAACCAAGTGAAAAGCTACGAATCAGGAAGGAGAAATTCTTTGAGTAGTGTGTAGTTTACAGTTTCCAACGCCGTACATAATATAATCTAAGACACATGCATACATGTTACGCCACAGGAAAAGGAATCAAAAAAGTAAAAGAGATTGAAGATTGAAGATTGAAGATACACCAAATGATATGGTGGAGTGCAAGCCAGTTACCACAGATTTGGCAGGTTCAAAGGGTTTTGAGGGTTTTCCTTCTTGTCAGTGTCAAGTGGCATGAATGATCGACTTGCATCTGCAACAGAATAGAGAGCATAAGGTAGAAATCAATGTGAGTGGTAGTAATACGTGATACAAGAAGCCTTGTTCTCGGGACCGGGAAGTTCATGCAATATTACTTGGGGGCACTTTCTAGGTTCTGCTGCAAAAGCTCCTCGATGTGATATGATGACGATGATGCAAACGTTTGCTTGCTTGCATATTACGATACAATTGCAGGACCATACCTGATACTTCATGATTATCTTCTTTTGTGGGAGAGAGAGAGAGACGTCAAATTGTTAAAAGGTGGATTCTCAAATGTTAATTGGCTACAACTTGATGATCCTCATTTATATCCCCATGTATATCAAGCAAAGCATTTCGCAACATGGTTTAAAAAAGGGTCGAGAGGATCAACTCATTTCGATTGATGTTTTCAGGGGGGTTTCAATCACTGTGCATTGCGTATTACAACTTTTGAAAGTTCTGGCCCCAATTACGAGTAGTAAGTATTCTTGAATCTTGAATCTTGAATCTCGCGGTTGATATTTGATATTTGATATTTGATATTTGATACTTGATACTTGATAATATTCTGTAAACAACCTTCTACGTTCTAGGATTTCAACCCGAGATGCTTCCAGAGTTCCATTGCGGGTGCTTCTAGAAGATTTAGAAGAATTTCTTCTTAACTTCTAAGGAAATAAATAAAATCCAGTAATCCAGTAATCCAGTGGGGTCCAAAAGTTTATATCTCATCTTCCTTGTAAGTTTATAACTCTTCAGCCCTTGTCTTTGTACTTGTAAATTTCAATTTTAGTTGCCGCTTCCTGCGGGATGCTACCACTTTTAGTTTACCAAACTTCAAACTTCAAGGGTACACGGTACTCGAGTACACCTTATGGAGTACATCTTACAAAAACTCCCTCGATCGATTCGATTCCAACCCACCTGACCAGGATTGATGGTGACAGGTATGTTATGCTTGATGACTTTTTAGTATGAAGTACGAAATGTAAAGGCAGCGTTGAAGTTTCATTAGGGTATGTCGAACGAGTTTCGGTACTTTGCCAATTTTCCTTAGAACGATCCTTGTTTGTATCTTTTTCCCTGCCGAGTAGTTCCGATGAAAAGCCTCTATCTAGTACAGGCAGATCTAGTACATGCAGAATGTTTTCGCATTAATCTCCTTATGCCTACCAAGTCAGCAAGTGGCCAGGTTCAAGTACGGATAGGGGGGGGGGGGGGGGGGGGGGGGGCATACGGAGTAGTTCGAGGCAAACATCATGATGAAATGATGAAAAGCTAAATCTGTACAGAATTTAACCAGCACAGGCCTCATTCCCCCATTTATCGCGCACGCACAGGCAATTAAGTTTCAATTGTGAGATTCGATAGATCAAGAGGGGCGAACTATAATGGTTTCTTTCTTAAGATCCAAGGTTCAAAGTGAGCAATATAGATATATGACATCCGCAAATGCCGAGCACAACGCTGAGAGACTTGGCAAAGCGATCAAAAATACCTCGACCACCGACGATAACCTTTTCAGTATTCAAACATCACATCGAGCCTCCATAACTTGGCAAGATTCATAAGGCAAGAGGATAAGGGAAGAGGGCTGCTAGGTTTTGTTTTCATTGGATATTGTTCCACCAGATCATCGGGTTCATGCAGGAACAATCAAGAAGAGAAGTTCTCTAGAGTCACTCACCTGCATACAAGTAGTATGCAAGTCATATCAAATTCATTTAAACCTCCTTCTTTGACCTTCCATCTCCTGCATAGAAATTTTTGAAACGGAAACTGTAAGGTGGCGATCCCACCTTGTTGTGTTGATTGTTCCGAACACCTGCATATCAGTGTTCCATCGCATAAATGCGAATTACATTCTGCAGTGTTTTTGGTTACAATTACTTTTTTTCGGCGTACAAAGTCGTGGCAGATAAGTACCGACTTTCTAGAAGGATTCGAGAATTTCCGAAAGAGTTTCTTTTGCTGCAGGAGATGTGTGAGGCAAATGAAGGATATTTTTGGGGGGGGGGGGAATTCGTATACCAATATTTCATTTGCGATGAAATTGTATCTGTTATTTTTGCATGAATAAATTTGCAATACGAGGTTTGAGGGGTTGATTGCTTTTAAAATACCAAATCTTAGCACAAGTGTGAATGTTCGTGGAAGGATCAGGTTTCGTAGGGTATCATCAATAGATAGGCTTTGACTTTCAATATTCGTATCCTGAATGAGTGGGGAAGAGAGAATGTTCATGGATTGAATTTCATTCGCGAGTGGTATTCTTCTACTATTATAGTAAACCTTTCCCGGAAAGGGGGGAGGGTCAAAATACTGGATTCTTAACAACCAGAATTTCATTGTACCTTCAACGAGCTGCTCGATTCAATACACCCTCTTCTCACTTTTTCCACTCCATCTTACCGAATATTGTACCTAATTAGGGCTCACACTCTTTCTCCAAAACACTTTGGCCGGTACGCCCTATCAACACGAGAAAACATAATCCATCCACCATAAATCTGCCCATTCTTTGACAAACGCGGCGTTTCCGGCATATACATTCAACACTCACGAATATCCATGCTCTATTCCTCTTAGGTTCTGCCCACTTCCACTCCTCTTCCACGATACCATGGACTCACAACTTACAACTCTCAACATATTCATATTGCACGAATATCCCGTATTCGGATATACAAGATATGGATCTGTATATCACACCCATATGCAAACCCAGCAGAGGGATATATATACAAATGAAGAACTAGGAATCGTATCTGGATTCGAAGCCGCGGATGGAAAATAATGAGGGGGATAGTATGTTTGAGCGTGAACGTGAGCGTGGACTTGAGGCTGGATATGTGGTTGATAAGTATACATCTAACTAATAATTACATTTCTGCGATATATCATCTGAGCCTATACAACCAGTACCTGTGCAATCTATATATAATAAGAAAACCAGGTATATCCATATCCATATTCGATCCCAGTAGCAGCGCCATATCCATACCGGTAAGATTCGTATGGATATAGATATCTGAACATTTGAATAGTAGAGTAGCAGATTGGAAATTGGATGGATGTATTTATAAGTTGTTGTGCGTGAACGCGGATCTGTATAAAGGAGGGGGGGGAAGCGGGTTCTATAACGCACCTGGGAATTGAGGATGAGGTTTAGGGTGATGAGGCTTGAGTAGGTGGGTGAGAGGGACATTTTGTTCTTGAGATGGTATGTGTGATGTTATATGATGTGATGTGATGGGAGCTACATATATACGTATATGTATAGTAATTTTGAACTAATATATATTTAGATCATTTTTAGTTTTGTAATTCTATTACTCGAGTATATTGTTATAAGTTTAATCTTATATCGAGAGGAATCTAAGTCGTGTGAGTAAGAGCGGGTAATGATATGAATTCAAATTAAAGTAGATATAGATGGTTTTTGATCTAGCTATCTGATAAGTAGTGGATGAATTCGAGTGGCATTTAGATTATTTTATCTCTGCGAGTTATCTCTATATAATTTGGGATTTGAGGTTTTAGTAACATAATAAAGAAGTGATAGATAGAGATATAAACTTAGATCTTTTTTGATAGTTATTTATTATCGTCAACTATCTATCTATATAGATATCTGTCGGGATATTCATCACGTGAATCACTAGTATTGGCGCTAGTGCCTGGGCAGTGACCATTAGTTCTTTAGACAAATCAATACAAGGAATACAGTACAGGTATTGAAGCTTCACGTCGCCGTACCCGTTCCCACCGACATATATAGATATCATTATTAAATGGATTAACTCGATCAAAAGGCTCATCCATCGCCCACCCCATCCAGTAAATATAGCCCCCAAATCCCACAGCCCACCAATTAAAAAACCCCGGGCTTCTGGCGCAATGGCAACGCGTTTGACTTCGACTTCTATATGAAAATTATAGCTGATAACGACATCAAAAGATTACAGGTTCGAGTCCTGTGGGGCTCATCATTTTCTTCTTGTAAATTCTTTTTTTTTTAAGATATTTGAATAAGAAATGGAAGATTTGATATTTCGAGAACCGATGCCCGTGAGCAGATTTGGATGATTTTTATATAGATAGTTAGCTGTGTCTTATAATTATAGATTTGGTAATGTTCTGGGATTAATGTTGAAGGCTATCTGGATGAGTAGTTTGTGTTTGTGTTTGATATGTATATATATATATATCTAATATATCTAGTATACCTGGGTAGATAGAGTATCTCTAGATTGTTTTCATATTCGAGTGAATCGAGTGAATGTTTTGGGTGTAGATAAGAAGGGATTAAAATGGAATAAATTCGAAAGATATAAGAATATTTATATACGCGTTGATTTGATCTAGATTTCATATTCACTATTTGATATTCTAATTAAATAATTACTATACCCAGGTATTATTCTGTAACTGGATGAGGATAAGATGGGGATAGGGATGAGGATGAAATGTAAGGTGCAAAGTGATGAAATTGTAGGATTGAGAGGAGAGAATATAATTATTGAGTCAATTTAAAGAAGAGAGCTTTTGAATGAATGGGCATATATTTGATGTTTACTCTTGTATAATTTGTAAATGTGAAATGTAAGAGATATATATACATATATATATATATAATAGAGGACAAATAGAGGAGAATGAAGGGTATGTAATAGATGGTTGAATAAGTTCGAATAAACGTTTCTCCATAGTAAACAATCAATGCTCCTTTCTTTTCATATCTCATGCAAACATAACACATCCCAGCACACCTATCTAACCTTTCTCTATCATGTACCATACCTTCAACCTACTATCTATCTACCTCTTCATAGCATCTAACATCTCCCCCCTAACCTTCCTCTCCTTAGCCCCCTCACTCAAACTCCCCAAACTCCTCAAATCCCCAACCACATCCTTTGCCTTCCCAAAATAAACCTCCTGTAACAAATTTCTCATCTTCAACTCCATATCCTCAACCAATCTTCCAATATTAGCTATATGTTCCGCATCATCTAGAATTGGTAAATCCGCCTCGATTTGTCGTGTCATATTTCCGCTTAGATCCATTTCGCCGAGTTCGTTTCCGTTGGTGGAGAGTGAGAGGATTACAGTAGATGTGAGTTTGTAATGAGCGGTGCGGGCACGATCAACAGCTTCGAATACGTGAATGCTGTCCCAAGAACCTGCGGAGCTGGATGATGTAGGTGCGACTATTAATGCAAATTAGTATCCATCATTCAATATGCCAAATATCCCCGCATCGAAAAAAAATCAAAAGAAATAATCCTCACCTTTCTTCAAAAGAACTACTCCCGCAAACCCATCATCCAAATTCCAAAAATAAACACTACTAACACCTCCCTCATAATACAACTCCCTATAAACATCAAAAGCCTCATTCGCTCGAATTTCCATCTTTCTAACCCTTTCACTAGGCACAGCACCTTCACCCGCCCCATCATTATTTCCCTGATCATCAATACCACCGGGTGTCGTACCACCTACAGGTGTCTCAAACTCACCACTCCATGGCGAACGATAGCTATCGCCATCACGGTTATAATCGCAGAGAAGGTAATCGCGACCGGTTTTGCGGCAGCGAGAAATAGTAAGAGGTTGATCGACGGAGCTGAGGAGATCTTCTGTTAAGGAGGGGACGAGATCAATGAGGGAGTTTAGGTGGGTGGTGGTGTGTTTGGGGTTGAGACGGCGGAGAAGATCCCTGCGGAGGTTAATGAGTTAGTGAGTTATCGTATATGGGTTTTTATTCGCAGATGTAAGTTTTTTGGTGATAGGAAGGATATCAAAAGCTTACAGCGCGCTATCAAATTGATCAACTTCTGCCATTTTGAAAGTGGTTGTATGAACTATGGAGCTTGCGTTGTCAAAGTTGAAGATGGAGGGGTTGACGGTCAAGGTACGTTTTAGCGAGCAGCCGGGGTCTGAACGACAACGAGGGGTTATCAATTTCCACGTATTGAAAGCTTACTGGGAAAATTCGGGGGGAAAATGATACAAATTCACTAAAGTAATTATGAGTATTATTGTGTTTTGAGTTGTATAATTATGTATATGCTATTTCTGGCGTAAATACAACATTGAGCACGACAAGACTCAAGCAAGGAAAACCAGCTATATGCAACCAATTCATTCACCACCCTCAAGTTTGGATCAAGTTCCCTCCATCCATACGCCAGAGGTTAGCCATCCACCCCTTTTAAAGTGCTCCAAGCCAATGTAATAACTCCATTGTAATGAATCATCCCCCCTACTTATTGTACAATGCGAATGCAATGCAAAACCAGGAATCCATCTTACAAATCCAGTTCCGAACCAGAATCTTCAGCATAACCACTCGCGTTCCTCTTTGCTTTTCTATCACGTCTCCAAGGGCTACCAATGTCTTCGTCTGGACCTGGTAGGCTTGGGTGATCCTTTTCATATTGTACTCTGAAATCCCAAGCGTCTTTATCCCATTTCGCCGATTTCACATTATAATCCGCAACAGCTTCTTGATAGATTCGTTTTCGTTCGAAAGCCCTGTCAATATAAGGTTTCTTTACGTCCTCTGGAGCTTCACTCCACATTTTTGTGATCATTTTCTTAACTTCGTTGGTAATTGGTTTACCTTTCCCCGGCCTTCGACCTTCCTCACATTTTCTTTTAGCTTCCTCCCATGTATCCTTACTGTACATTTGATAGGAATTGGAGTGGTTCTTTGCAGGCTTCCAAGGTCGATCACCGAGCTTTGCGTATATCGCATTCCATATCTCGATTTCATATGCCTCAAGACGCGCCTGTTTTGGATCCTTAGGAACTTCAATGGCCTCAGCCTTTCTTTTTGATGCCGATTCCTTGGGTGGAATGAGATTCTCCGGAACTTCTATTGGTCCGATGATAGATTCCAATACCTCCGAGGCTGCCCTAAGACCCGAGATGTAAGCTCCATGAACGGTGGCTGGATGTGTACCACAAGTATGCTCTCCACCGAAGAAGAGGTTACCAATAGGCTTTGCCATGACTCCGTAATCATCACTTTGGAAATTTGGCCCAGTGTAAGAATAACTGCCACGGGAGAATTGGTCTTTGCCCCAACGAGTAACAATCGACTCTACAGGCATAGGAATGTGATCACCGAAAACGCCTCTTAGAACTGTTGTAGCCTCATATATCAATTCTTCGTTTGAGGTCTTCTCCGTATGGAACGCTGCGTCGCCCGCCATGAGAGCTAGTAAAGTTGGCATACCGGATGTTTTTGTGCAGTTAAACCACTGGAAAAATCTTCCCCTATGTGTGAAATATTCTCCTTGGTCTAGACTGAATTTGTTGGGTGGATTACGTAGAGTTCCAAAGATATCTCGACCTTGATCCCAAAAAGGCTCTTTGTAGACCATGATGATTTTGTTGAGGATCCCATAACCAATCCGCTGAATTGCACCAGTCTTCCATGAAGGTAGCTCTGGTTCAAATTCAATCTTGTTTTGCTTCAAAACACCCAGCGGAATAGTGGAGACGATGTAATTTGCCTCGATTGACTCGCCGTTCTCACAGTCAATCCTAGATGAGGCAATGGTAGGATGAGGATTGTAGACAATACGTTTCACTGCACTTCTTTTCTTCACATCCAGTAGTCGTGGGAAACTTAGTAGACCTCGAGGAACTTGTTGGTAACCTCCTGTGACCATTGTGTGCTTGCCTTCCCATTCATTACCGGCATCGAGATCCCAACCTCCCAAACTCAACTTATTGCAGGTGATCGCATTACTGTACTCGAGATTTGCGACGTGCCAATTAATGAGCCTGAGATCAAGCGGAGTGAAATCAATCATTCTCATATACTGTCGAATAGCGTCATCAAATACTGATCCAAGTGTAGCATTCTCTTTGCTCGTCGGTCGTTCAAGGTCTAGATCAAATTCGATGCCAACACCATCTCTAAGCTTCCATCCAATCTCGCGGGCTTTGTAAGCAGCAGTATGCACAGCTGGAATTCCGGGCTCCAAATGGGCTCTTCCAGTGAGCCTGTCTGATGCCACTGGCACCATTTGTTCGAGAGCAGATGATTTCTCACTTGCAACAGACTGCGTGGCAAGACTGGCTCTATTCTCAACCTCGCTAATTGTTCTGGATCCATCCCCATTGCCATCGCGTCCTGCATCTAGGTGGTCTCTATCACCATCGATGAGAGGCGGTGGTGCAATTTTGAATTTGTACTCGCCAACACGGTCGAGGATATAATTGAAAAGCTTCTCGGCATGCTGATCGCGTTCGAGGTCAACCGGGCGACCATCATCATAGATCGTAGTATCTGGCTTCAATGGATGATAAGGCAGCGCCAGTTGTCCTCTTACAATAACGTTCAGCGGATTGCCACGATCAAAACCTGTAATAATCATACCACCCATTTCTGCAGTATATCGACTGCCGGGAATTAGGGTTGGATATTCTGGTCGCGATTCGTATTGCCGAGAATATACTCTCCCACCAACTCGGTCTCTGCCTTCAATTATGACTACATGGGGTAATTCCTCACCCATTTCATGAAAACGATCTTCGAATTGGGCAAAGAGGCTTTCTAATTGTCTAGCACAGCCTAAGCCAGACATACCAGCTCCAATGACGGCAATAGTTCGCCTGTTTCGTCCGGTACTTCGCATCTCGCTTTTATCTATTTTGGACTCTGGATTTTCGAGACAACCGTAGTTGATATAACCGCGCCGAGCCAACCATTCGTGGCATATTCGAGCAGCTTCAAACCAACGGACATCTCTTGCACATCCAATAGCTTCATTTCTCATTACATGTATCGAGGGATTGCGGGTCCAAAGCCGGAGGATTCCATTTCTGATATTGAGATACGTCGTGACCTGTTGATGGCTTATATGCCTACGTAACATATGATACTCCTCTGGATGCAAAGTGTATGGACTGAGCCGTGATGACTCTGCTGCTGCAATGCACTGTCTGGCATATTCCGCTGGATGAA